GCATGCGCGAGCGGCGAAACCCGGAAGTAATGCGCTCCATTACTTCTGGCTCGCCGCAGCGCACAACCTGAAAATACTCATCCTGAAGTTACTTTAACCTGAGGTATGACTGTATTGACCACTTAGCTGTGGTTTACTTAGGTGTTCTACTGAGTCACAACAGGAAAAAGCTTGGTGAAATCTGTTGCCATGCGTAAAATGTGTTTACAGATGGCAGCTATGTGCTGCCACCTGGCAGTTTGAGTGTTGGGTCATCCTGCCACTACCACTACTGCATAGGGAGATAAACCTGTCTCTTTTTGCTCTTTTACTTTTGTTTTTATTTGCCTCATCTTGTTGTTTGTTGCTTTCTGATGATAATTCACGAATTAAGAACAACATCAACAATCTCAGATATTTTCCCACAGGAGGCATTATGCAGAATATGCTGCTCTGTAACATTTAGCAGGGAATGGAGCAAGGGGTTATGTGTATGCAGCATGTTGGCATTATAATGCAGGGAAAGTCCAACCAGTTGAAGTTCTACGCAAGCCCATGCTGCCTATCAGATGCCAGATCTTAGCTTGTGCCCAGGATTGTCAAACGGGGGCACAGGCTCAGATATGGGTTGGGCCGGTGGGCAGAGCTGACAGAGCAGGAAGGCTTCCCTCAGGTCTGCACTCAGGCTATTTAAACAGCCCACACCTGGAGCCTTTACCAGTTTTTCCTTGTTGAGTTACCCAACCACCCTCCCTTGGTTCAAGCTGCTATTGAATGACCTTGTTGTGGCTACGGTGGCTGAGTGGGAATTTGAGCACAAGGCAAATTGTCTCCAGCCTGCTGGTTTTGCCTACCTCATAGCAATCATTGCAACTGGGGCTGGGCATTGGGACAATCCTTGTCTTGGATGAAGGGGAAGTAGTAGTCTCTGCTTGGTCCTCCAAAAGCTAGGGTATCCTGTTAAAGGGATCGGGGGGGGGGGGAATTGCCATGTCCTCACACCCAGCCAGGGACCAGGGCCATTGCCTCAGACGGTGGTCCCTGCATGGGTCACCCTATTTCATTTATATTTTAGTAACACCTGTTCAGATTGCCCTATGTGTCACTTCCAGCAGGCGGGCTGGATTTTCCATTGTATTCCAGCAGGTGGGCTGGATTTTCCATGTATTTTCCATTGCCCCATGCCCAAGCCAATCCTCTTCCATCTGTATTCAACAAAGCTGTGGCCTGTTTCAATCCAAACCAGTCTCAGTTGTCTTTTGATTCATGGAAGGTTGTGGGGCTGGGGAGCCTGCCACTGTTCAGAAATTGCAGTCATGCGTTCCAAATTTCAAGCAGATGAAGGAATATAGGTTCTAGGCAGCTATAAATCTGCTGGAGATGAAAGAACTAAAAAGGAATTGATTTCGGTGTAAACTCATGCTCTCTGATTACAGATGTCACCTGCCAGTGACAACATAACTCACCCCTCTGCATTTTCCCACTCCAGTTTATGCTATCCTTTCCCTTTCACTCCACTCTGCTGTTATTATTTATCTTTGTTGTCTGCAGCTCTTGGGACACACAATTGAAAGTTGAGTTCTTTCTTGGCAAAACGCTCAATTGCATTAGCTCCTAAGGTGTGAGAATCACAGGTGCCACCCCTGCTAAATAGCTAGATGGGCATCTCCTTCTTCACACCTGTGCTTCATCCCAGAAGTTGGAACAATGGCATGCCACACCCACGTCTACTCCAGCATATTTAAAGCCCCTCTTCTGGCATGGTGCATGCAAAAGACTGGCAATTTCACTTGTGTGCATTTCCAGCTGATCCTTTCAGCCCGACTCTCTCTGGCACTGTGTCATCCACCTCTGTCTCTTCCTGCACCTCTTGCCCTGCCTCCTCTTCTTCTATCTCTAACTGCACAGCCTCTACCTCTTCCCCCTGCTTTGCAAGTGGCACAGACCCCCACAAATCACTGGTCCCTCCCCCTGAAAAGTCTCCTGAGCCTCTGCCACCTCTGCCCACTCTTCAGACTATTTCCCTCCTGTCCAGCAATTAAGATAAAGGTAAAGGGATGCAGGTGCTGCTGTGGTCTAAACCATGGAGCCTCTTGGGCTTGCCAATTGGAAGGTCGGCGGTTCGAAACTGTGTGATGGGGTGAGCTCCCATTGCTCTGTCCCAGCTCCTTTCAACTTAGCAGTTTGAAAGCATACCAGTGCGAGTAGATAAATAGGTACTGCTGTGGCGGGAAGGTAAACAGTGTTTCAGTGCACTCTGGCACTCACCATGGTACCCCATTGTTCCAGAAGCAGTTTAGTCATGCTGGCCACATGACTCAGAAAGCTGTCTGTGGACAAACACCAGCTTCCTCAGCCTGACAGCAAGATGAACTCTATAGTCACCTTTGACTGGACTTAACCATCATGGGGTCCTTGACCTTGACCTTTTACCTCCAGCAATGACTCACCTGAATGGAGGTTATGTAAGCTTCTCCACTACACTGCACCATGTCATCTGCTACTGCTATTAAGAGTAGCAGTAAAAAGAGTAGCAGTAAAACTTTAAAAGTGTCCCTGAATGGTCAAAACTAACTCCAGATTAATTTCCAAAAGCCTATACAGAAAACAGACAGCAAAACTAGGAGCCTGTGAAATTCATCAAGCGATATGTGCGTGTGCGTGAGCATGCGCGCACACCCAAAGCAATAATGCAATATGATTACAAATAAGGAGTATTAAGGTTCCAACATACAACAAAGACACTAGTGGGTCTCTGTGTGAGATAATGAGGGAGTCCGGTGCGCTTCTGCTGCCACTCAGCTTGCCAGACTTGTAGCAGAGTAAAACACAGCGTGTGCTCTGTGTGCAAGCATGCAGAAAAGAGAGTCTGTACTCAGCTTCTTCACTAATCTAATGAAGCTTTATTTGTACAGCAGTGATAAATCAACATCTCCAGGAGACGGCATAATTCCTCCCTTCTCAGTCAAAACCGAAACCAGGCTGAACACAAAGAACAGATTTCTGGATGAGGGAACCACACACTCACACACACACACGCCCCAGTGGGCTGCACGCATACCCTGAGCCGTTTAACCCTATAAGCTGGGATTCTCCTCACACTCTGCCCCTCCCTTTTGTTGTCCTTCAGAGGGGGAAGGGAGCAAGGAAGATAGACATAATTTGGTGTTTTGCTAATTAAAGGAGGGCCTGGGGTGATTAGGAAGGGGAAAGAGAAAGACTCCAGCAAAGAGTTCCATTCTGAAGAGCTTAAAACATCAAACAGTGCAAGAAGGGGAGAAAGAGAGAATGGAAAGGAGGAAGGAAAATCCAGTGCAGGGCAATGTGTTTCCATGGTAGGGAGTTAAAGAAGCAATGGGAAGGATGGAGAAATATTGCTAGTTCTCTGCAGAATTCAGAGATTCTGGTATATTGTTAAGAGACGCAGCAGAAAATTCTGTAATCTCTCCCTGAAGCAAGAGAAAAGAAAGAGGAGTTCCAAAGAGAGACCATCTCCAAGGAGAAAGAAAAGTCAGCATAGGGAAGGGACATGCCACACATCCTGTTCTGCTCAGATTTGAGTGCACAGTTTTTGCATGAGAAGGAAAGTGAGAAAAGCAACAAGTCTTACTACCTCACTGTGAAGGTTCTTCAGAGAGAGAAAGCACTTTTTTGCTATGGCAGCAATCATTTTATATCCAAGTTGAGACTAAATTAATTTTTTTTAAAAAAATTAAATATCCATTTTTCTTGATAGCTACAGGGTATTAAAAGATTTGGAAAGGGTGCAAGCCTCAAAAAGCTTGTTCTAAATACAGTCGTACCTCGGAAGTCAAAGAGAATCCATTCTGGAAGTCCGTTCGACTTCCAAAACATTTGGAAACCAAGGTGTGGCTTCCAATTGGCTGCAGGAAGCTCCTGTAGCCAATCCAAAGCCGTGGAAGTCACGCCAGACATTCGGGTTCTGGGTTTGCGGCATTCAGGAGCCGAAACATTCAACTCGCAAGGCGTTTGTGATCCAAAGTATGACTGTATCTGAGAAATAAATTAAAATATTAAAAAATTGTCCAGTAGCACCTTAGAGACTAAGTTTTTTCTGAGTATAAGCTTTCATATGCATGCACAGTTCTGAAGCTTATACCCAGAACAAACTTAGTTGGTCTCTAAGGTGCTACTGGACAATTTGTTTATTTATTTCGACTGTGTCAGACTAACCCGGCTACCTACCTGAATCTTGTATCTGAGAAGTCCACTAACTTTTTTCTGTAATGCAGTGTTGTGGCCAGGCATCGGGGGCTCTGCAGTGATCTGGTGGGGACTGGAGATTGACACCCTTCTCGCTGCCACATCGCTAGTGTTGGCCGGGGCCCCACCCAGGGGTGGCCCCGCTGTCCAATCAGGACCTGTGGGAGGCATGGCCATGGGTAATTAAGACCACAGCGCATCCGGGGAGCCCTGCTCTCTTACCCTTTGCCAGATCTCTCAACCCACCTGACCTCTTTTTTATGCTTTGCTATGCCTCTAAAGTAAAAAAACTGGACTTGGTGGGTGGTTTGTAGTTCATGTTTCCCAAAATGTTTGCAACTCTGTGAATCCAGAAAGTCCACTTTCCATGGGGCCATCTCCACTAACTCAAATTAGTCTGAGGACAATCACATTCAGTCAATGAAGGAAGTGTTCTGCTTGCGGAAATCTGCTGAATAGAGATTTATTAGGCCAATGTGGGCACACATCTGCAAAGTCACACATACAATCAAGCTGAAAGCATAGTTCTGACTTGCCATGGACATGACACAATTCAGCAGAATCAACATAAATATATGTGTGAAAAGAAGTAGAACACAAGTAAATTAACTAAAATGTTTCAACTCTGTTATAGAGCATAAAAATGATAAGATCCATTGTTGAACCCATATAATACTTTATGAATTGTTATAAATTAGCATGTGTGTTCTCCAATATCTGCGTCAGACATGAAAATAATGATTTCAAAATCATTAGGTTTTATCTTTATTATAAATGATTTATAAAGAGAAACGTAATCAATGCTGTAGACGTTGCAAATTGGGGGAGAATAGGGTGAATAGATTTGCCGTCATCTTCCACAATGCTGATTTCAGTTGCCTATTCCGTATACTATAGATTATTGGGTTCATAACTGGAGGAAACATGCAATAGAACATAGAAAGCACAAGATCCATGACTGATGGGGACCCAGAAGTTGGCTTTAGATAGGCAAATGAACCACTGGCAAGAAATAAGGATATTACAATAAGATGTGGCAAGCAAGTTGAAAAGGCTTTTTCCTTCCCCTGGGCAGAAGGAATTCTTAGAACTGCCCTGAAGATCTGAACATAAGAATAAACTATCAGAGCAACATAAGTAATGGCTAGAAATATACCAACACAAATAACCCGAAATGCGATGAGATATGAATCAGAACAAGCAATTTTAAATAACTGTGGGATTTCACAGAAGAACTGGTTGATTTCATTGGAACAGAACTCAAGTGTGAATGTGCTTCCAGTGTATATTGTAGAATACAGAAGCCCACCAACCCATGCACAGATTGCCAGTTGGACGCATGTCTTTCTATTCATGATAGTCTCATAGTGCAGTGGACAGCAGATGGCAATGTAGCGGTCATATGCCATAATACCAAGGATGAACAAGTGAGATCCAATAAAAAGAATGAGAAAGAAAACCTGGCAGATGCATCCACTGTATGAAATAGTCTTGGTGTTCATCAGGGAATTTGACAAGGATTTGGGGACTGTGACAGATATTGAGCCAATGTCTTGGAATGCAAGATTGGCCAAAAAGAAGTACATGGGTTTGTGAAGCTGAGGACTGCAAGAGATGACTGTGATGATGAGAAGGTTTTCAATGAGAGCCAACAAATAAATAAGCAGAAAAGCAATGAAACGGAATGTCTCCATCTCCTGAGTATCAGAGAATGCATGCAAAATGAATTCCATCAGTCCTGATGATTGGTTGAACATTGTGTAGGTATTTGGTACCTGCAAAGAGAAAACAAACCCATTTTAGAAAGGAGAAGAGTATCAGAGGCTTTCATGCAGGTTCCCCATGTGATCAAATAGATTGACCTAGGTAAGCCAGAAACCATTGCTCTTTCAATAAACATTTGTTTGTTGTTCATCTTAAAATTAAAAAGTATACACCTTTAAAAATGTTAAATCTCTAAGTGGTTAGTATTACATATTATAAAAATATTTCATATTGTTCAATGTTTCGTATATATATATAATATATAATCTATATTATATAAAGAGTTTATATTGATATTGCATTATTGTACTTGATCATTGTGTTGCCTTGGATATTACTGATGACTGTTGGAAAGAAACAGAGGAACTGAGGTGAGAGGGAATAGAAGGCAGCTGCTGCTTCCCTGAGCAGAAACCCTCCACAAGCCATCTTGTTGCAGGACTTTACCTGCTGAATACAGTGCCAAAAACATTCAAACATTATTCTCAAGACATTTAACTGAATCAGATTGTTTGTTCTAAAGTGTCTCAGGCTTCAGTGAGTGTTTCCTGCAACAACCATTCAGTAGAGATGGTCTAAGTTAACCAGTCTAACACTACAAAAGTGGCAACTAATCATTCTGTTTCTGCCACTGGAGCATTGTTCTACTTTGGTGCAGCTTTGAGTGGGGATGACATCTGAAATCATTCCTCCCAGTATAATGCAGTTAGAAAATCTGCAACTCCACTAAGTGTCTTAAGGGGTGGAGCTCTCGATATGGTATATTGACCTCTAAGAGTGGTGCATCAGTCCTGGCTGGGGTGCTGGTTTTGGGGGGAGAGAGGGTGCTTATGCTGAGTGGAAGCATGAAATTCTGACCTGAAAACCTGCTTGTTTAGTAGTACTGTCCTTTTCCACTGCCAGAAGTGTGTGTGTCTGTGTGTGTGTGTGTGTGTGTGTAAAGCAGGCATTAATTCTCATCATAATCCAAAAGACCACGATGATCCCCATCATTCAATGATGCCTTTTCCCATGTCACGGGTTTCCAGCATGCACCAGCAAAGAAAATCTGCAGCTGACACATTCTCTTCAGTGCCTCATGCAAATCACTGGGCAACAATTTTTTACTTTTTGAATGTTGTCTAGATTTCTACAACTGATTTAGGGTATTTTTGCACTGCTGAATCAGGAAGTGGCATCCGTTTCTCTCCATCAGGTCAGGTTTATTGTAAACGGAATGGTGGGCATTGATAAAGGTAAGTACACGTAAATTGCATGTTGCTTCACCATTTTTCAAACTTCAGGGCTTGAACTTCCGTTTCTTGGAACTCCTGGGATGCTCAGCGGCAGGGAGGTCTCTCTTCAGAGTCCAACAGTAGTCAGCCATCATGACTGCGTCCCAGCGACCCTGATACCTGGTCTCCATCTCTTTCATGTCCTGATGGAATCTCTCCCCCTGCTCGTCACTCATTGAACCCAGGTTCTCAGGAAACCGGTCCATATGTGAAAATAGGTAGTGCATCTTGACGCTCATGTTGCAGCCCAGGTTTCTGAAAGCAGTCAGCATGTTTTTGACAAGTTCTGCATAGTTTCTGGCCTTATTGTTGCCAAGAAAGTTATTCACTACCAGAACAAATGCCTTCCACGCTTCCACTTCGTTCATTGAGTTTCCGAACTCTGGATCTCTGATGAGCTGACGGATCTGAAGACCGTCAAAGATGCCACTTTCAACTTCTCCATGGTCAATCCTGGAAAATCCTGGCACAAGTAAGTGAAGCAGTCACCATCCTTGTCCACAGCCTTGGTGAACTGCTTGATTAAGCCGAGCTTGATGTGCAGCAGTGGGAAGAGTATTCTGTCTCTGTCCACCAGAGGGTCATTGATGATGTTCCTTTTTTTGCAAGGCACCAATTCCTCCCGCACAGGCCAGTCCTTCTTTGTGTAATGCTGAGCACAGTCCCTACTATCCCACATGCACAGAAAACATGGGTACTTGGTGAAGCCAGACTGTTGTCCCAACAAAAAGTTCACCATCTTCAGGTCAACACAAATAAACCACTTATGCTGATCATAACCAATTTTCTCCAGCACATATTTCACCTCTTCATAGTTCTCCTTCAGTGTACTCGAGTGAGCCAGGGGTATAGAGGCAAACTGGTTGCCGTTGTGTAGCAGAACACATTTCAGTGATCGCTTGCTGCTGTCAATGAACAGTCTCCAATCTTTGGGTTCGTACTGTGGCACTCCAAGCTTGAGCAGAAGCTGCACAATATCTGCACAGTACACCAAGTCCTTCTCTTCCGAGAAAAAAAGGAGGTTTTATGACTTCAAACTGATCCCTTGTCGACATAATCACCCAGAACTATCGGACCTGAATACTTCTTGTCATTAAAATAATCATTTCCAATCAAAACAATTATTCGACATGGCATTTTACCCCCACCAACTTCTTCTAAAATGCTCCACGCAAGCGTACATGTGAACAAAAACGTTTAAAAAATGACATGTGGCCATAGCTCAAAAACTTGACCTGATTGAGCAAAACCAATGTGATTTTTGGATTCAGCGCATCAGATTCATCCTAAAAAAACTGAAAAAAATGCAGACAACAAATTTGTTGTTGACCAGTGATTGAAAATGTTAAACCAGATATTGGTAACATGTTAACTTCTCAGCACACCTGAACCTTAAAGTTTTGTCCAGAATTGCCCTCAGTGTAATTAACTTGTGATAAATTGGTTTTTTATCAAGTTGATACTCAATAAGCCACTTGAGAAGTGATCCATAAAAACTGACTCACCAAACTATTCATGGGCAGATCCTGGATAATTTAATACAATTTTATGTGGTGGTATTTGTTGTTGTTGTTGCTGCTGCTGCTTTATGTCTGCTCATTTTCTGCTTTTCTCAGTATGATCTGTCACATCTTTAGCTCTCCATCACTGTTTAAGAGGTGATCTTGGTTACAGTTTTCCTCACTGACTAACAGAATAAGGAGATGCAGCAATTACTTTTATTTATATTTTGTTTCTCCATTCCCAGGAGTCTAATAAACTCAGAAGAAAATTCTCAGGTGTATGTGTGGAATGCATGTGTATTTTACTGTTTACATGTAAAAGTGTTCTATTAGAATACCAAATGATAAAAGTTTCAAGCAAGAATCACTACATCACATGGGATTTCACCTGATATACGTAGATTGAGCAGCAATATATGGAGGTACATACATCACTTGGTTTCTTTTTCATTCATTTATAAATATTTCCATTATAACACTAAGATGCTTTAAAAATATTTCCTATAATATAATACTTAATATAATTAATATAATATCTATCTATCATGTTCCAAGTTCTTTATTTTTTATTTTTCTTAAAAATTGTAATAACATAACAGCTATTGCTGATTCTTTTAATTTCAACTATTGTATAAAGAAGAGGACTGCTGGAAAATGTCTGTGAATGTTTTTTAAAATATGTTTGCTTCAAGAATCTCTCAGTAGAATAGGCCGTTGGATAATTTGTATACAGAACCAGCAAATAAGATACACAACATATAGACAGATCTTGTGGCGTCTATGTTTGTTGCATGTTGCCACCAGTTATGAACCCAGCAATGGGGAGGATATTTGGTGTGGATCACCAACTACACTTTGCTTGAACTACAGCAGCTATCTCTGTGTGACAGTACCATCCACACTGTTCAAAATAAAACAGTATGTGCAGAATTCCAGTGGGATAGAGTTCTTTACCAAAAAAAAAAAAAGCCAAATCAAGAAATTTGGGCACCTGAAGCAAAAACACACACCAGTATACCCTTTACAAATTCCTCTTCTGCACTCTGGCAATAATTTAAAATGAAATAAATAGCATTTTGATGTCACTACAATGGTACCTCGGGTTAAGTACTTAATTCGTTCCGGAGGTCTGTTCTTAACATGAAACTGTTCTTAACCTGAAGCACCACTTTAGCTAATGGGGCCTCCCGCTGCTGCCGCACCGCCGGAGCACGATTTCTGTTCTCATCCTGAAGCAAAGTTCTTAACCCAAGGTACTATTTCTGGGTTAGCAGAGTCTGTAACCTGAAGCGTATGTAACCTGAAGCATATGTAACCCGAGGTACCACTGTATTTGACCAACAAAGCTGGAGTGGCCCCCTCACTTTGCCTAATAAGAGTTCCAGCCCTGCTTCATATATAAATCCCTTAGGAAAATGTTTGCATCTATAAATCTTTTGTTTAGCTCCTTGCTCAACCTGTGTTATACTTCCCAAATAAACTTTGAATATTGTTGATCCGTGTCCGTTGCAGGCAGTCAGTGGACCAGGGAACTAGGCTTGTCCCCTCAATATTCCTGGTAAATGAGAGTATTAAAGTACTAAAGCCAGGCACTTCCTTCCCAAAGCTGGAGAAGCTTCTGTCCAGCTTAGGGAAGGAGGGGTGATGCTCACACACAGATGTTGCCCCTGCCCCAAATCACCCTTAAAAGCTGGCACCTCTGGCCCTAATGTATCCCCATAAAAAGATTCACTGCATGCCTCTGATCCATGTGGACAACATAAGTATACTCCTGCTAAAATCTAACACAATCCGTTCATTTGCTGACTTCATTGCTACCTGCAGCCATAGTGCCTTGTGAATCTTATAATATGACTTTTGTTATGGTTGTTCCGTTTAGCTTAATTTATTTTAGTAGCTTTCTTAATAGTGTTTTATAGAAGGTGGTTGTTATACTGGTGATTTGTAATTATTTTACTGATGATTTCTTAATTATTCTATATAATTTATGCTGTGGTTGTGATGTTCAATTATCTGTTCAACCTCAGATTTGAGTGACCAGTTTATGAATGAGAAGGAAAGTGAGAAAAACAAGTCTTACTACCTCACTTTGAAGGTTCTTCAGAGAGAGAAAACACCTTTTTGCTATGGCAAGAAACATTAGCTTTTATACCCAAGGTGTGTGGGATGTAATCCACTGAGATCAGTCAAGTACAACATTCCTTGTTTTCCTAGAGTGGACATGCAAGGGAATGTTTGGTCGAGCCAGTCAAAACTTCCTGTTCCTCCTGCCCTGGAACATCTTTCCTTGCATGTAACTAGTGGGTGGGTGTGACCTTTCCAGACCTGGTAAAAGGACAAGGCATGCTGCCACACTCTCTCTTTTCCATCTTCCTTTTGTCCTGCGAACTTCCTGGAATGAACTGCTGGCTGCCAGCCAAGCAGTCCCTCAGGTCACTCCCTTATGGGGTAAACCTGTTTTTATACGTTTGTAAGCCTAAAGCCTGCCTTCAGGGATCACACTGTGCTCTGCCTGATCGTGAGTAAACTTTCTTTTTATTGCTTATGAATAAGACTGCCGTGTCTTTATTCTTTAAGGAGGGATTTAAAAGGGGATCTTACCAGGAACATACAGTTCAATCTGAGGCAGATTGAATTGCATAATAGTAAGAGGTTCTAACGAGCCGGCAACAAGTTTTCTGCTGTGTAAAGGGGAATGCACTCTGCTAAGTAAAGGAACATGCTAGCGCAAGTTAGGAAGGATATTAATAAATAATATATCCTCTATTGCCACCCTGAACATTCCCTCGAGGTGAGGCTAAATTATTTTAAAAAAACATTAAATATCCTTTCTTTTTGATAGCTACAGGGTGTTAAAAGATTTGGAAAAGGTGCAAGTCTTAAGAAGCTTGTTCTAAATACAGTCGTACCTCAGAAGTCGAACAGAATCCATTCTGGAAGTCCGTTTGACTTCCAAAACTTTTGGAAACCTAGGCGCAGCTTCCGATTGCCTGCAGTAAGCTCCTGTAGCCAATCGAAAGTTGCGGAAGCCACGCCAGACGTTCGGGTTCCACAGAACATTCACAAATGGGAACATTCATTTCCGGGTTTGCGGAGTTCAGGAGCCAAAATATTCAACTCCAAGGCATTTGGGATCCAAGGTACAAATGTATCTGAGAAATCCGCTCACCTTTTTTCTGGTGGGCGCTGTTGTGTCCAGGTATCGTGGGCCCTGCAGTGTTCTGGTGGAGGGGAGATTGACGCCTCTCTTGTTGCCGTCTGGGCCACATCACTGGTGCTGGGCGGAACCCACCTAGGGGTGGCCCCGCTGTCCAGTCAGGACCTGTGGGAGGCATGGCCTTGGGTAATTAAGACCACAGAGCATCTGGGGAGCCCTGTTCTCTTACCCTTCACCAGATCTCCCAATCCACCTGCCCTCTTTTTTATGCTTTGCTATGACTCAAAACAAAAACTGGACTTGGTGGGTGGTTTGTAGCTCATCTTTCCCAGAATGTTTGCAACTCTGTGAATACAGAAAGTCCACTTTCCATGGGGCCATCTCCCCTAACTTACACGAGTCTGAGGACAATCACATTCTGTCAATGAAGGAAGTGTTCTGCTTGCAGAAATCTGCTGAATAGAGATTTACCATATTGGCCCAAATATAAGGCGCACCCACAAATAAGCCACACCTTTCACATTCAATGGAGGGGAGTAAAAAAACAATACCCGAATAGAAGCCGCTCCCTTAAAATTCCACAGGCACTCACAGCCGTAAATGGCAGATGTAGAAGAAAACCCTACTGGTACTAGAGAGGACCCACAAGTGAAAGCGATGAATGACATTAGAATTAATTCCACAACAGTCTCAAGCTTGCAAATCGGCAATAAAACATTTTTGTGTGTGTGTGTGTTCCCTTTTACCATATGTCTGTTTCAGCAGCAATATCATAAAAGCCAATTTTTGTAAGGTTGCAAATTGAACTGCACTGTAACCTTTCATGGTCAGAATTTGGGGGGAAAGTGCAGCTTATATTCAGGCCAATACGGTATTAGGCCAATACAATCACACATACAATCAAGCTGAAAGCATAGTTCTAACTTGCCATAGACCTGGCACAATTCAGCAGAAACAAAAATATGTGTGAAAATAAGTACAAAACAAGTAAATTAACTAAAAAAAAAATCCACTCTGCAACAGAGCATGAAAATAGTAAGAGCTATTGCTGAACCTATATAACAGTTTATATAGGCACAGAAATTAAAGATCAATTTCTGAATCTATTAGACAGCATCTTAAAAAGCAGAGACATCACCTTGCCAACAAAGGTCTGTATAGTTAAAGCTAAATCTAAACAGAAGGAAAAATGATTAGAACAAGAACATTCCACAGACCCACCAATTCAGACAACACATAATAACAACTGTGGTATTCCATAGACTATTATTGACACAGATTTTTTTTCAGACTATTTCCCATGCATGCTGTGGAATAGAGCTCTGCAGTCCACACAGTGATTGCATTCACCTATGTGCAGAAGGAATTCTTTGAACTATCCTTAAGATCTGGACATAACAGCAACTATTAAAGAAGGAGAACAAACCTAGACAGCATCTTAAAAAGCAGAGACATCACCTTGCCGACAAAGGTCCGCATGGTTAAAGCTATGGTGTTCCCAGTAGTGATGTATGGAAGTGAGAGCTGGACTATAAAGAAGGCTGATCACTGAAGAATTTATGCTTTTGAATTATGGTGCTGGAGGAGACTCTTGAGAGTCCCATGGACTGCAAAAAGACCAAACCTATCCATTCTTAAGGAAATCAGCCCTGAGTGCTCACTGGAAGGACAGATCCTGAAGCTGAGACTCCAATACTTTGGCCACCTCATGAGAAGAGAAGACTCCCTGGAAAAGACCCTGATGTTGGGAAAGATGGAGGGCACAAGGAGAAGGGGACGACAGAGGACGAGATGGTTGGATAGTGTTCTCGAAGCTAGCAGCATGAGTTTGACCAAACTGCAGGAGGCAGTGGAAGACAGGAGTGCCTGGTGTGCTCTGGTGCATGGGGTCACGAAGAGACGGACACGACTAAACGACTAAACAACAACAATTACTATTAATTAGCAAGTGTGTTCTCAAAAGATTTGCAACTGAAATGACAATAAAGATTTCAACACAGGTTTTATCTGTATGTTTAAAAATGTTTTACTATATTTTTACAGGAAGAGAAACATATTGCAAATTGGGGAAGATAAATTGGGGTGAAAAATTTTGCAGTCAACTTCCACAATGCTGATTTCAGTTGCCTATTCCGAATACTATAGATTATTGGGTTCATAACTGGAGGAAACATGCAGTAGAACATAGAAGCCACAAGATCCATGGCTGATAGGGACCCAGAAGCTGGCTTTAGATAGGCAAATGAACCACTGGCAAAATATACAGATATTACAATAAGGTGTGGCAGGCAAGTTGAGAAGGCCTTTTCCTTTCCCTGGGCAGAAGGAATTCTGAGAACTGCTCTGAAGATCTGAACATAAGAATAAACTATCAGAGCAAAGTATGTAAAAGCCAGAGATGCACCAACACAAATAACCCAAAATGCGATGAGATATGAATCAGAGCAAGCAAGTTTGAATAGCTGTGGAATTTCACAGAAGAACATATTAATGTCATTCGAACAGAACTCAATTGTAAATGTACTTCCAGTGTATACTGTGGAATAGAGAAGCCCACAAATCCATGAACTGATCACCAGTTGGACGCATGCTTTCTTGTTCATCACAGTCTCATAGTGCAGTGGATTGCAGATGGCAATGTAGCGGTCATACGCCATGATGCCAAGGAGGAAAAAATGAGATATACTAAAGAACAGAAGGTAGGACACTTGACAGATGCATCCATTGTATGATATGGTATTGGTGTTCATCAGGGAATTTGCTAAGGATTTGGGGACTGAGACAGATATGGAGCCAAGGTCTTGGAATGCCAAATTGGCTAGAAAGAAGTACATGGGTTTGTGAAGCTGAGGACTGCAGGTGATGACTGTGATGATGAGAAGGTTTTCAGTGACAGCCATCAGATAAATTACCAGGAAAGTAATGAAATGAAATGTCTCCCATTCCTGAGTATCAGAGAATCCATGCAGAAGGAATTCCACCATTCCAGATGACTGGTTGAACATAGTGCTTGTGTGTGGTTCCTGCAAAGAGGAGCAAACACATTTAAGAAAGGTAAAGTAAAAGGTAAAGGACCCCTGGACAGTTAAGTCCAGTCAAAAGTGACTACAGTATGGGGTTGCACAGCTCATCTCGCTTTCAGGTGGAGGGAGCTGGTGTTTGTCCACAGACAGCTTTCTGGGTCATGTGGCCAGCATGACTAAACCACTTCTGATGCAATGGAACACCGTGACGGAAGCCAGAGTGCACAGAAACACTGTTTACCTACCCGCTGCAGCAGTACCTATTTATCCACTTGCACTGGCATGCTTTCAAACTGCTAGGTTGGCAGGAGCTGGGACAGAGCAACGGGAGCTCACTCCATTGCAGGGATTCGAACCACCGACCTTCCGATTGACAAATCCAAGAGGCTCAGTGGTTTAGACCACAGGACCACCCATGTCCCTATTCTATTTAAATATTTATCTTTATAAACCTTTATTTAAGAAAGGAGGCACAATTAGTTATCTCCATGTTACATGGAATTTCATGGGATAGAGATTTAACAGTTTTTGTCCATGTCACATTTCCAGTATGCATTTGCTAAGACCGACATAGGCTGACCTGGCCTCTTCTATGTGGAATGAGGATGTGCAGGCCAGAATATTCTCTTTAATGAATGAAAATGTATAATTCTTGGCTATTCTGCACATCTGGCCTTTGCAGATTTCTTACTAGGAAACCCATAAATATATTTAACTTGTGATAAAACTTGCTTTTTATCCAGTAGGTCTGTTATGCCTTCAAGGTTCTGCTTCTAGATGTTTCATTAGGTTCACTGAATTCATAAATCACTTCTCACAATAAAAGAGACCCCCAAGGAATTTACAATAATAAAATATGTGAGATGTCTTCTATTCCTAGCCATTAACCCTGGCTGGGACAAACTTAGCATGGGCTTTTGCATTGTAAAACTCTGGTTTCTAGATCTTCCTGAACTGTGTACACAGTTTATCCAGGAGGTCATAAATAAAATAATTGAAAAGTCATCTATTCAAATAGACTTACCAAGCTGTTTGTGGGCAGATCTTGGGTGATTTCATGCAAGTGTTTACATGCTTCGTTTTCATGCCTGGTTGCGATCTGTGTTGTTTTTCTGGGCAGCCAATGTGATTTGCCTTTTCAATGTATCACACCATTCTCTCCCCATAGCTGTTTGGGAGGCAATTTCTCTTACTGCTTTCTATACTGAGATGCTGCACTGGATTTTATCCATATTTACTTCCATTACTCCCAGGAGTCTAATCAAACTCAGAAGAAAAGACTCATGGGAAAGTGTGGTATGTGTTTGTATTTTTACATGTAAAAACATTCTATAGCGTACCAAATGATAAACAGTTCAAGCAATAATCACCATGTCACATGCAATTTCATGTGATACAGAATGAGTGACAATATACATTGGAATATACATCACTTGATTCCTTTTTTTAGTTATTCGTTAATTTGTAACGCGGGTGGCGCTGTGGGTAAAAGCCTCAGCGCCTAGGGCTTGCCGATCGAAAGGTCGGCGGTTCGAATCCCCGCGGCGGGGTGCGCTCCCGTCGTTCTGGTCCCAGCGCCTGCCAACCTAGCAGTTCGAAAGCACCCCCGGCGTGCAAGTAGATAAATAGGACCGCTTACAAGCGGGAAGGTAAACGGCGTTTCCGTGTGCGGCTCTGGCTCGCCAGAGCAGCGATGTCACGCTGGCCACGTGACCGGAAGTGTCTCCGGACAGCGCTGGCCCACGGCCTATAGAGTGAGATGGGCGCACAACCCTAGAGTCTGGCAAGACTAGCCCGTACGGGCAGGGGTACCTTTACCTTTACCTATACATCACTTGATTCCTTTTTTAGTTATTCGTTAATTTATAACTATTCATATTATAACACAAAGGTCTGTTTTCAAGCTTTTCACAATATTACACATGTACAATGATAGATTCCCTCAATTCTGAAATGGCTCCCTGAAGCCATACTAAAACACCCAAAAATCCTAACAGAGTAAAAGAAAAGAAAGAGGAGTTCAAAGAAGGACCATCTGATTGGAAAAGGAATATTAGCTTAGGTAAGATGTGTTCTACAAGTTCGTTTCTTCTTAGATTTGAGTGCAGAATACTTGCAAGGGAAAGAAAGTGTGAGAAGCAATGAGTCTTACAACCTCGGTGTGGATTTTATGCCAACGATTCTCCCCAAACTGAGGTCAATTGGTTTTTTTAGAAGGCTAAATGCCCTGTCTTTCTGAAAGATATTAGCCCTTTAGGGCTTTTGAAATGCCATGGGGAGCCATGAAGATATTGTAAATCTCTGAGAAATGGATCTTTTACCATGGATCTTCTTCCTGCTATCTACATGGGAGGGGGAGACTAGCAGATGTTCTTGGTTTCCCTCTAGGTTACCTCTGGCCTTCCAAACTTTGTAGCTAGTTTCTATACAAAGTGGGAGGAATGATGGAGAGGAATTTTCATTAATACAATATGTGACTTTCTCCTTGCGTAACACTTCCAGAAGTATGTTTTACTATGGTCTTCAAACAACAACAAAACCTGCCTCGTCAGTAATGACATGGTCTGGTCTTAGCATAACTCCTCCTCCTACCCATGATCACTGAGATAGGGTGTCCCAGTGTGTCCCAGTGCAGAGATTGTGTGTGTCCCCCATGGAACCTGCCCCAACCATTCTGTTGGCTGGGGCCTACTCCCAGGCAGCCCTGACTCTCTCCCCTTAAGAACAGAATACAAACTATATAAAACAATAGAAACTAATTAAAAAACAAAACAAAAAATCACAGTTCTACTAAAAATTAAACTAATACCCAACTGCAACTAAATGTTAATCCCTCCCCCAACAAGCAAAAACCAAACCATAAAACCAAAATTTAAAACAGCACAAATTAAAAACTATTTAAAAACATTTTTGACATTTGACCCAACCCCAGAGTTATTCCAGTGAGTCTGGGCTTTTCAGCACTCACAGCCAGGCAGTGTCTCTCCAGTGACATCTTCTTCCTTCAACAAACACATGTTGCACAGGTTTGCATGAAAAGAAACCCCAATGTCTAAGCTCCTGCTCAAAGGAAGATGCACTGCACAATCAGGATAAATGCACAATCAGGTGCCCCAGTCATGTGGTGCATCTACACACAGTCAGGATCTTGAATGTTGGGGATTCTTTACAGACAACAACACACAATGCATGAGGTGGTTTGTAAAGCAGCCTGTAACTTCATGTGACACAATGGTGCTGGAGGAAGCAGTGGCAGCGGGGATGAGTCTCCATGGCATTGTGCATTTGTTTTATGGTTGTAATTTTATTGTTGATGTGTTGCTGTTTACCACTATTATTATTATTTTCTTAAGGTTGGCAGAATATATATATATAAAACTTAAAATAAATGACCAAACGTAGCACAGCTCCAGAACCAACTTGATAGGAATTAGCGTATGGATTTGAAAACAGAATTCAATGAACTCTTATACAGTTAGCACATTTGTTGGCTGCTCTCCTTAAGGCCTCCTTCACCTCTTTATTCCTCAGGCTGTATATAAGGGGATTAAGCAGAGGTGTCAAGATGGTATAAAAGATAGAGAATACCTTATTGAGTGTTCTCAGTTGATTGTTGTCTTGTAAAAGATACACAATGGTGAGAGAGCCATAGAAAATGGTCACCACAATGAGATGGGAAGAGCAAGTGGAGAAAGCCTTTTGCCTTCCTGTGGTGGATGGGATGCCAAGAATGGCAGTGATGATGCATACGTATGATGCTATAGTCAGAACGAATGGTGGCAGGGTAGAGATAGAAGTCAGAACAGCCGATACCAGTTTCACCTGACTTGCATCACTGCAGGCCAGGTTCATCATCGGAATGAAATCACAAAAGAAATGCTCAATCACATTGTGACCACATAAGGTTACCTGTAGTATAAAACCTAACAATATTGTGTCTATGACAAAACTGCCAATCCAAGACCCAGCTACCAGCTGCAGGCAAACCTTGAAATTCATAAGGACAGAATAATGCAAGGGGCGGCATATTGCTATGTAACGGTCATAAGACATTGCTGCCAGGAGATAGCACTCAGTTACTGCTAAGAACACAAATGCCCATAATTGCACAATGCAGCCATTAACGGATACACCTGAGTTTTTGCTTAATAAACTGGCCAGCATTCTGGGGAGGATGGTTGAACTATAGCAGGTCTCCAGGCAAGACAAGTTGCCCAGAAAGAAATACATGGGGGTGTGGAGGTGCTGATCAGTGACAACCAATGTGACAATGATCAGGTTCCCAGCCATAGTCATGATGTAGATGATTAGAAACAGCATGAAGAGAAGAATATGTAACCCCTGGAGCTCTCCAAAGCCACGAAGTACAAATTCTGTAATGATGGTTTCATTTCTCCTCTCCAATGTCAACATCCTTTTAATCTGCTGAAGGGGAAGAAGAACAATTTGTGCAATCAATATTACTCTCCCCTCATGTTATTCTAGTATTTGCCCCCATCTGAATTAAAGGGATCTCACCCCAGATTCAAGTCTCCCAATAGTCCTATTCAGGTATTTGTTCCTCCAAGTCTCGCTTAAATTATTCCCATGATATAAGAAAAACAAGGACAAAGGTGAATTGTTTTGAATTTGATTCCTTAGATTAATCTGCCTGCTTTTTCTGGAAATAAGGCACCCCTAGGTGAGCTTTATAAAATGGCTGAGGGAGCCATTCAGTGGATAGAAACCCATAATGCAAAGATTGCTGCCTTTCTGATATTGCAAGGGTGTTTTGGATTTTTGGCACAAAAGCTATACAAATGATATCATCCTACTTCCTAATAAGGTAGCCTGAGACCAACTTGAATGCTTTACAAAGTATCAACCAGGCAACCATGGCTCCAGAATTTTAGGGATCCCTCTCACCCTGGATCAGTCAGGAAATGCAACCATGCTGCCACAACTAAAAAAAACATGAGAAACAAAATAACTTTGTCTTTTGGATGATTCCGAATTATGTCGGGAACATGAATTTATTGATGGAACAAACATGTCAAAATAATCTATGGTTATAAATTGGGTTGGTCAAGTGAGGCAAGGTGTAGTAACGTTCCACTCGCCCACACTACCCCTCCATCACCCGACTCTGCTCTCCGGCCAGTCCAGGTTTCTTGAGTAGGTTGGCGAGGGAGTTACTTTTCTCAAACACAGGCCGAAATCACACCGGTAGGGCTGCCACCACTCCCTTTTGTACAGGGGAACCCAAAGACACCACCCAGGGAGAAGAGTGCGTCCAATTAACCTGGCAATCCCCCTTTCCTCACAAGCTGCATCCACAGGCTTGCAGGCAGAAATTCAATCGGTATAGCGTGACTAAGCAGAAGGCTTGAATTTAGCTATTCCCTCGGAAAAGGCACAAATACCAACAGGTTCCAAATTAAAAGTTTATTTTAAAAGAATAACCGAAAACATGTGGAAACCCACAGGCACACCTTAGAAGACTTACAAACATGAAAATAATAACGCTATACATTATAACTAGCTGTTACATACCCACAAAGGAACACAGTTAAAATAGTGAGAGTCCTTTCAAGCTGTTGCGTAATGGAGCTGTTTGAAGATTTCCATTTCAAAAGGACATAACGACGGCTATCGATGGAAGATACAGCCGGGCATCTTTGCGAGTTTGCAGAGCAATGGCAGAGAGCCACGAACAAAACATCCCTTGATCTTTTATCCACAATTCGGACTTTGCGTCGTAACTTTTAGCCAATCAAGAGTCTTAATTTGATCAGCTCATTCTTTTGCAGCTGGGTCAATTTAGGTTTGAACCCTTAATCAAAGAATCTTTCTCCCACCTGTGGAAATTAACCAGATCCCCAATTCTCAGCAATTAGAAAACAAACAACCTCCGGGAAGGAAAAGGTTCACACCCTCCAAACCCAGGTGCCAGCTTTTCACTAAATCAAGGACTCTCTTCCTTCCATAAACCTCTCAGAGTAAGGAGACAGAGAGTCTGGAGTTTAAAGATACACAACTCCCTTTCCCAGGGTCCTTGCGGCTGATAAAATACCCACAAGGCCACATTCTTCTACTTGACCAAGGAATGATTTTCTAACTATATCTACATCACTACACCCTCCCCCTTAGATGAAATAACAGGGTAAAGTCCCGTAATTTCATCCACTATTTACACTGAGGTAGATTTCTTGGTCCAGGGGTTCTAGCAGCTTTTGAACATACATAACTAGCAGCACCCCCTTAATCCAATATTTACACAGTTTCAAGACAATGAATTCTCATCCGAGGATACAGGTAATACATATCTTACACTTCATGGAATAGATTGGTACATTCTAGACAGAGTGTCAGCAACCACATTTTCTTTTCCAGCAATATGAGTGACCTTAAACTGGAAATCTTGCAAGGCCATACTCCATCTGGCCAATTTCTGGTTAGAGTTTTTTCCTCTTTCCAACCAACACAGAGGAGAGTGATCAGTCTGAACCTCAAAGGAAGTACCCCACAAGTAGGGACGCAATTTAGTTAGAGCCCAGACCAAAGCAAAACACTCCTTCTCAATGGTGGAATAATTTTGTTCCCGGGCTATCAATTTCTTACTCAGATAAACCACGGGACGCCAATTTTTCTCTGAGTCTTCCTGCAACAAAACGGCACCCAATCCAGATTGACTAGCGTCCGTCTGTACTTTAAACGGCCGTCTCTGATCTGGGGCCAACATGACTTGATTGCTCACCAGTGCATGTTTCAACAAATCAAAAGCTCTTTGACACTCCTCAGTCCATTCTACCTTAACTGGCAAGGATTTCTTGCAAAGGTTGGTGAGAGGAGCTGCCAGGGTTGAGAAGTGGTTGATGAAACGCCTGTAATAATTTACCAACCCTATGAAGGACTGCACATCCTTTTCCACCAGAGGGCGAGGCCACTCTTGAATACATTGTATCTTAGCCTCCAGAGTTTTGATGCTTCCAGACCCAACTCTAAATCCCAAATACACCACTTCTCCTTGAGCAAACTGGCATTTTGACATTTTTACAATCAGGTTTGGCTCTTGCAATTGGGCCAAGACACTCTGCACATGCTTAAGGCGTTTTGGCCACAAGTCAGAAAAAATCAGCTTAAATTCCTCCAATCCCTCCCTTTTTCCTCTAAGCATACCCAACAGATTTTGAACACAGGGATTGGGCAAAATGAAACTCCAAGCAAACCTGAAAACATTTTTGCTCTTAACATCATCATCCTGTTTCCTAGGACTGAAATTCTGTAAAAGACCCACCAAATTCACTTTCTTCTTGACACAACCATTTGCATTACAAAACATCTTTTGAAACACAATAAACACATCAGCAGGGTCTTTAAAGTCCTTGAGCTGCGGGCAAAAAAGTTCTTGGTTAGCCACAACAGAAATAAACTCAGTCTCACAAAGTGGAGTTTCCGCAGCTTCCCGGCAACCTAGGAAAGAATGATCAAAAAACTCAAAAGTTCTTACAGCTGCTTGACTGGGTTGAATTGACCCCCCTCCTTCTGCTTGCCTCTCAGCGTTTGGCTGACAGGGAACACTTGCATAGTTCACAGTTTGTGTTACTAGGGGGTTTGCTGCAAGCGGCTGTGTTGGAACTGCAGATTTCAAAACATTTTCCCCCAAAAGAGAATTTTCACTAACTTGGGGTTCAAGACCTGGATCAAAAGGTTCCCCCATACAACCCTTGGAGATAAACAAATCAGCAGTTGCAGGTTGAGGAATTAAAGTTCCACACACAGAATTACTCTTCTGGAAGTCAGGCTGGTTCCATGGAGACAAAACTGAGTCCTTTGATAAAGTCACAGAAACAAAGTCCATATTTTGAAAAGAAGGCACAACAACTCGATGAACCCTGGGGATGACGTCAGACGCTGAGCAGGGCTCATTAACACAAGGAGTGGCAATACGTATCAAGCCAACCCTCCTCCCAACCAATTTCTCAGTTGTTACAGTCCCAACAGTCTCGATAGTTTTGGGAGTTATAGTATCAGGCGCCAAACTTCCACCCTCCCTATCCGGGACAAGGTTCTCCAAAACATTTGCTTTCAAGGGGACACTTTGTAACTCATTGGGCAGATTATCATGGTCATTTCTCACTTCCTGACCCAAATCACCCAGTTCGACAGGGGCATCAAAGTCCTCTGGGTTTTCCTTATCCAAGATTGGTAACGCTCCCTCCCCTCCGGGTTTTCCATCCAACCCTGTCTCAGGCACAACAGAGTCTGTCCCTGCCTGAAGTGGGGTGGGGGAGGTGGCTACAGTTACCGGCTTCCCCTTGATTTGTTGTTGCAAGTAAACTTGAAACCCAAGATCGTTCCCAACCAAGACGGGGCTTTTGCAAACTTGTGGGTCATGAACAATCACCAAATGGTCCCCGCTGTAGCCTTTGTACTTAAGGGGAACTATTGCTGTTGGCTGAAAAATTTCCTCTACCCCATACGGACTAATTTTCAGAGGCTTTGCCTGCATCTGGCTAGGCAAGACCAGATCTCTAGACACGCTTGTAATGTCTGAGCCAGAGTCCCGATAGGATTCCACGACAGTTTTATTGACTTCAATAGGGGCAGAAAACTCCAACTTCGCCCAATTCACATGAGGGGTTTTAAAATTACTCCCCGCACTCACCGGACCCACATTAACAGCAGCTATTGGAACAGCAGGTGTTTCAGCTTTAGGTGTTACCCCACCCTCCTCCTTCAGAGTCAAACACTGCTCCACTCCGGATTTTAGTTGCTCCTCCTCCCAGTCTTCCTCCGGACGCTGAATCATTCGCACCGCGGGAGTGGACGTGAGGATTTGGGGTTTTTTATTTCCCAACTGGGGACAAGCTGCTTTCACGTGTCCCGGCTTCTTACACAAGAAACACAGTCCAGACGTTGGGGACAACTTTGAACGCTCTCCCCCTGTGGCAACAAAGTCTTTAGCAGGTGTAGGAACCCCACGGCTAGGTTCTTTGCTGGGGGGGGGGTAGATCTTCCAGACCCAATCATAGGTCTATTAGCATTGTTCCCCCCTCTTGGAATCCTTTGGGCACGATTAACCCAAAAGGACTCAGCCAAAGTAGTGGCTTCCTCCAAAGTACGTGGCTTTTGGTCTGCAACCAAGCTAGCAATTTCAGGGGACAATGATCGCATGAACTGCTCAATCAACAGGAGCTGCTTGATATCCTTTGCATCCCGAGCCCCCTCGGCTGCCAGCCACAGTTCGAAATTCTGAGCCATCTTTGCAGAAAATACGGCTATGTTGTCAGTGAGCCCACCCTTCTCCACCTTTCGGAAGGCTTTTCTATATTGCTCAGGGTGTAATCCAAGCCGCCGCATAACTAGTTTTTTAAACTTCTCATAGTTATTTAAGTCATCTTGGGGAAGATGTCCCATCAATTCTGACAAAT